TGTACAGTTTACATGTTATTTATGTTTTTATCTAAGGTTACATTTTAGATTGAGCTACGCTCACGGATTAACTATTTACGAATATGTCTATGTCAGCCCACTGCAGTCCACTGCTGGACATAGGCCTCTCCCAAGGCACAGGTATATGATAGGTATATTATATTTTTTAAATGTTGTACATTACGTACGTTATTAATGTTGAGAAATCTCTGTCCATATTATCTAACGCACGTCAATTGTCGATGCAATTTCTCAGAAAACTAATTCCAAAGGCGATATGATTAATTACCGTATCGCAGCGAAATAAAAACGCCCATTATCTCGATGATAAACGTGGGCATACAACAAAAACAACATATTTCCTTAAATGATTGACACAAGCAAATTGGATGTGTTTTCGTTCATTTTTCTAATGTCAGTCATATTTTGAAAGAATCATTATGACTTGTAAATTAAAATAAATAATTTAGTAGTAGTAAAATCTTCCCTGATTTTACATAAAGTCGTTACCGAGCTGCAAGATCTATTCGAATCAAAAGATGACATATGTAGTGAAATTTTAGGAAGGCATTTATTTATTTTAATTCCACACTTACAGCTATTTTACAGGTCATAGCCAGTATACATTTTGTTTTTAAATTAGTTGTACCTTATAATAGATAAAGCGATCTTCGTGAATTCATTCAGATAACAAGAAAACAGATCTAATTGCTTCGCCGTATGGTTTAATGTGCGCAGTGCTCTTGTGACCGGTGCTTTGCCTAGTAAATGTGTGATGTATGATACCCTTATTTCCCAGTGATGGCAATGAATTCGAGATACTATGTGTATCACAATATACATGTGATGACTGTGACTTCACTGTTGTGGTGTGTGGTGTAATCTCTAGAGAAAAACTATGCGGTCCACAATCTAAGCGTACGCGGGAGGAAGCTTCTCTGAAACCGCAGTGTCCAAGATCACTTGTTCCAGTGTAAACACATGTATCTACTATAGTCAGTATGTATATTATAATCTTTAAAACAAAGTGCAAAGTCCCATTAGCTGTGTATTAGCGGCGAGGCAGACACTCATCAAAATAATTGCACGCGCGTCGTCCCATCCAAATTGAAAAGGCGAAGCGACTTACCGCTTACATTACATCCGTCATTGACCATTCGTTATCAGTTATATATACACAGAATAAAATCGAAAAAGAAGGAATTAACATTGTATACTAGCTGAGATCCCAACTTCGTATCCGTATAAGTTTTTTGTTTTTAAACCGTTTGGAATAACACAAATACTAAATTGTATAAGTGTATCTTATAACAATATATTAATGTGCACGTTTCTGAGATTAGCGCCTACAAAGGTATAGGCAAACAAACAAAAATTCTAACTATCACTGTTTGTATTTCTGTCACTTTAATAAAAAATATACCCATAATATTTTCCCTGGTATATTTTTTTTCCTGCATCGTATACAGGACTGTGATCCAGTTATATATATTTTTTATTTATATATCACACATCTAGTACTGCTAAAAAATTAACAACTGGAAAATCAACAGTAAAAGCTTGGTTTTAAATGTTTTATTCTAATTTCCATAATATTTATGTTTTGGAGTCCATAAAAATAGTTTCCAGAATTTTCGTTTGTGCATTGCGATTAACCTGTTTGTATTTTCCCGGAATTTTAGTTTTTCTTTCATTTCAACCGATTTTCAACCTAAAAAAGTTATAACAAATTGATAGAAACATCAATGACAAACCAAAATAAATAACTCAGTTCCGAGAGTGGCATTCGCGGTAGTAAAATCTGTTACTCCCATATTGTTAGTTTAAAATTGTAACCTATAAACGGACGGACGGATGTTTCCATGTTGTTGCTCTTTTTTAGTACGATGACATTCTAGATTAACAAAGGATAATATTATTAGAACTATTGCATAGTGTTAGTTTCGCCTAGATTTACATATTATTTCATTATAGGAAGGTACCACAAGTAATTTACAATTTTATACTGCTATGGTAGGTTGCAATTCTTTGGGCCATGTGGGGATGGGATTGTTAGTATGTGGACTAATGACCCCATTGCTAGCAATGCACCCTGTCAGGTTGACATCCAGTCGGTTTACCCTAGAAGTCATTATAAGAAACGAAACGGGATGAAACCTGACCCGACCTCATATTCATCTAACATGCCCCGACAGTGTAAATCGTTGGAGCAGACGAGTATACCATTATATGGATCCAGGATGTGATGGATGATAATACCATTACTATTATCATCCATCACATCCTACAGACCATTTGATGGTAAACGATTGTCAATCCGGTATTATGACGTAAAAAATAGCGTGAGTCGAATAAATAAAAATATTATGCCTACATATTTTAAAACACGCAAGTGTCTTTCTCGTTCTCCGTCTTCTTGAGACTAGACTAGATAAAAATATGACTATTCATAAGAGCTTGTATTAAGTTTATTTGAATAAATAATATTTCTAGTTCTATACAATGTATTTTCTCCAACACATGTAAAAACATTATTATAACTATAATTTACTGAGCTCCGCCCACGGCGATGCTTAACATTCGTTTTTTTTATTTTTGTACAATCAGATAAATTTATGACATAGCTGTCCGTTGATATACATTTGGCTTTTCCCATTTCCATAGACTAGAAAAGAATTCCGGTTAATATTTTATATGAGTTATACTTTATGAATAAAATATTAATTTTATTAATTTTGTAATGGTATAATAAATTAATCAGGGGTAATCCAGGTCATTCAAATTCATGTGCAGAATACTCATGAATTTTATTGCTATATAGAGTTGAAAATAGAAAATATATTATAATTACCTAAATGCATAAAGGACCTTCAAATAATATAATTAAACACATACAAAAAAATTTTGAATCAAGAAATGTTATATAATATATCTAACTTTTTAAATGATAATATTTGACGAATTTTTTAAGTTTTATTTTATATGGATACTTTAGTCATAATATTCCCTAATTTCATTTATATCACAATCACTATTAGTTTAATTGGGACTCGACACCAAACTAAATCGTACACAGAATTAGGTTCGTCGAACTTTGAAAACTGAAGGTTTTTCGGGTAGACTGGGAGAGAGCAATTATCCACGCAAATTAGTTTTCGCCGTATAATTTCCACCTCTGCAGTTAGTCTATCCCGTCGACGGCAGCAAACCGTTTTCGATTAAGTTCAAGTAACATTTCATCTAGAAGTTTATATTAGTTGATACTAGTACTCTGACTGCGTGAATTATTAGTTACTATGTTTACATTGTAAATCGTTTTTTCGGATAATGGAATTATGCATAAGTTGGCAAGGCACTGATATGACTATCAAAGGTCGACTGGAAAATATCCCTCATTTGGGATAAGTCCGCTATTGTACAACCAATTTTTTTAAGATCGTTTTATCTTTAGTTAATTTAAATGTATTTACTGTACAATAAATTGTTACCAACAAACAAACAAACTATTTTAAAGTTCTTATAGTAAGTTTATTTGAATTACTAATAATCTCTGATCCCTATATAAACAATTAAACTTTTAAAAAAAGTCTATTGACGGGTGAATGTTCACGCCTTATTTCAGAACGGCTAGGCTGCAGGTGTTTGAACAATACTTTATACAAGGCTTCGATAGATACTATGAACTGTATTGAAGTTATATTTGAGAAGCTATTCACCTGATTCTCTTCATACTCATTTGAAACATAATTTTTAATGCTTTGTGATTACGTATAGACTATTTCCGTTGCAATTGCGAATATAACAATTTGGTAGCTACGTAACGTTACGATAAGTATCGACTTAAATGGTTTATAAAAACCATAAACCTATCCAATTTGATATTCTTAGTAACTGGTTTTTAATAAAACACTAAGTATTGGTAACTGGCAGGTATCAATGTTTTTAATTTAGATAATGTAGAAACAAAAAATTAAGGAAATATTGTAGCAAGTAACTCCGGAACGTTAACCTGCTATTTTTAAGTTTCCTTATAAACAAACTTCCTTATAATTTATATATGTTTAGTGATAATCATTAGGTAAACAGAAAATAATCATAACAATAATACGGTACCTACAGAGATTAAATTATCGCCATCGACTAGCACCCTTAAAAGGCGCCTTTGCAAGCTCTGGGGTCATTCCGAGTCTGCGCTCTTTTAATACTCCAATTATTTATAATATTTTCTCTTTATTTTATGTATGTGTATATGTATATATGTTTATGTGTATTTATGTATTTATATTTTGTTGTTATTATTTATGCTTCTATTAAAATTATTATTAGATTTACTATTATTTTATATATATTGCTTTTCGACGCGTATTTTCTTATTGTACTTGTATCCACCACTCCACAATTCCTTTCAGTCACTCAAAGGTTGACTGGAAGAAATCCCTCTTTTGGGATAAGTCCGCCATTGTACCATTTATTTATTTTTAAGACATATGTATCTATTAATATTTTGTACAATAAAGAATAACAAACAAACAAACAAACGGTAAAATGTTGTAAATGTAAAAATTATATTTTTAATAATAAGAATAAAAATATTTTCTTATGGGCAAAGAATACATATAACTTTCGTCTTCATCGTCGTCACAAAGCATAAATTCATAACAGTCAAAATATTACATTTTTTTAACATAAATTGAAGTAAAAGTAGATTAGCTAATTGATTGAGTAAGAAAATAATTTGAGTTTTATAAAAAGGCACAAAAATAGGTATATATTTAATATACCCTTAAATTTTCGAAGAATTACAGGTATTTCTTCATAATATTTATTTCGAGCAACTTTATGGGCCATATAATATACAGTTATAATTCGATTTTTTTACAATGGTAGCAAAAACACAGTCAATGTAATGGTAAAAGGTGACCGTAGCATATGGACGCCTGAAACACCAGAAGCATTTGCAATAAGGTTGCATTTTTAATGATGATGTTTTTTTTTTTCAGGTAAATTTGAACCTCATCCGGCCGCAAGTTTCAATATGGGCTACCTCATGGCACCGTACCCTTATCCCAATGGCGGAGCGCATCCCCTACCCGTATCTATGGTAAGTCATGTTTATAAATTGTAATAGATATATTTGATAACTAATATTATAAAGGCAATAGTTTGTGAGTATGGATGGAATTATGATGGAGTTGTGGATGTTTGTTACTCTTTCACGTAAAAACTACTGAACGGATTTTGATGAAACTTTACAGTAATATAATTTATACATATATGTTTTGGTTAAAGGGTGAAGTATGGCTGAATAATTTTACTAATACCCCTACTGTCTAATTAATAGATATTGTTAATGATTTCAATTAATGACAATGCCTCTGACTACCCCGTCTTAGTTGCAGTCGTGTAGATTTTTTTTTATAATTTATATAAAAATCAGCTTTCTTGAGGAACAAATTCTAAAATGTATATTTTACCATTCGGAGTACAGCAGAAATAAAATCAATACCTGACCCAGATACATTATCACTTGTGATAAGAATTCTACAAGTGTGTGACAGTGTTGGAATTTGCAGAAAAATCGCATATTACGTGTCGTATACAATATCTGTGATTGATTTTATCGGTTTTTTTAAGTACATATATGTTCTTTCAAACTCATACTAAGTATTACAAGTGAAAAGTACTGTAATAATAATAATGACCTAAGGTACGTCACACAGCGCCATCTAATCTCAAACTAAGCAGAGCCTGGATTACTTTTTATTTCAGGCTACTGGGCCCAAGTCATAAATATCTTATAGACTAACATACATATGAATTAATATTATAATACTAATATATTGAAATTGATACTTCACCCCCTTTGGCTACTAGTTCCTTCATGAAGGTGGGTAGCTAGCAACAAACAAATAAAAGAAAAACCCTATCAACTAAAAAATTGGTAAGAAATTAAACAAGTAACAAATAGATATACAAACATCCGGCGGCCACAATCAACGTCACTCTCGTACAGTTGCTTCATATGGATCCTGGTATTTTTTTTATATGTGCTTGCAATAGCTTGGATCCTAGATTTTTGAGGAAGTACTTGATGTTGCTTGCTGCCTTATAACATTTGTTTCAGCTAAAGGCTTGACGGGGGGATGCGGTAGTACATGGGTCGTGGGATTTTTTTTTTGTTTATTTAATATATTGGATATATGTTATTTAAGACGAAAGTTAATACGAATATTTAAGACGAAGGTTTACGACCAACGTGTGTTGCCAGTGATGACTTACGGAACAGAGACATGGTCGCTAACTATGGGCCCCATCAACAAGCTCAGAGTCACTCAGAGGGCAATGGAAAGGGCTATGCTCGGAGTTACTCTGCGTGATCGAATCAGAAATGAGGAGATCCGCAGAAGAACCAGAGTGACCGACATAGCCCGAAGAATTGCGACTCTGAAGTGGCAATGGGCAGGGCACATAGCTCGTAGGACAGATGGCCGTTGGGGCAGTAAAAGACCGGAAGACGCAGCGTGGGAAGGCCTCCAGCAAGGTGGACCGACGATCTGGTCAAGATCGCTGGAAGGTATTGGATGCGAGCAACGCAGGACCGATCGTCGTGGAGATCTTTGGGGGAGGCCTATGTCCAGCAGTGGACGTCTTCCGGGCTGCGATGATGATGATGATGATGATATATTTTATTGCCCCTATGTATTGGGAATAGAAAAAATATTGTTTCCTTTCGATTTTTTCGATTTCATTCGGTAGTTGTCGTGGTGACTATGATGCAATCGCTATAGCGCCTTGCTATCTACTGATTTAAATGAAATCATATTTCTTTAAAATATATTCTGTCAATTTAAAAAAATAATATTTTTTATCTATACTTCTCCCGTCCAATTTAAATTCCAGTTTATATGAGATTCCAATTACATAAAAAAATCTTAAAAACAATATCAAATATTATTTAATATTTAAGTATTGATTCACTAATCAGATGTAGAAACGTCCAAAACAGTATATATAGATATGTTATCTATAGTAATATATGTCATACGTGTGTTAACGCATGTCAACAAGATATAGATTGCCTTGTTACGCTGCTGTATATGTTTTTTTTTAATTATATAATTCGCTTAACACTTCTTACGCATAGTATTTGAAAGTTTTGTTTATAACTTTTTTTTGTTAATAGTCTCGATTGAAACAAACGCGAAATGTTACAGGAATCATGGTATGTATGTGAGAAAACTGCATTAAAATTTGTTAATCCGTTTTTGAGATTGGCGTGCACAGATGTACATATATTTCTCAGCCACCAGGCAGATTACTTCGTAAGATGTTTCGGTTGTAAAGTGTGATTAATCAGTGAAATTACCGGATACAAGAGACATGGCATCTTAGTCTTATAAATGGGCACGCATGAGTGGTATCACGGGTACATTATAACGTGATGCCCGTAGACCGTATGCTGGTCATATATATACATATAGGCAACAGTTACCACTTACCATCAGATGGGTCATCATCTTGTTGGCTGGAACGGCAATATACAAATAATTTCAAATAAACAGCTTTTCATTAAATGCATCTGAAAGCATATATGATACTTACATAAAAATAATGTAAATGTGTTTTTTTTTATCTGTCTGTCTGTTTGTTCTTGACTAATCTCTGAAATAGCTAGACCGATTTTAACGGATTTTTTTTATTTGCATATAGCTAATCTTATAAGAAATAACTTCTCTATTTTTATGTTAGAAATTTTATAGTATAATAAAAAATAATAATAAAAACTTGAAATCCACGCGAACGAAGACGCGGGGTACACCTAGTTACATAATAAAAAAACAGAAGTCTTTTTTATTGTGAATATTGCGTAAGACAGAGGCAAACGACATAGTAAAATGGATTCTATGGCATTAACTTAAAGTGTAAAATTCGTTAAACATTTTAAAATATTTTCAGCTCATTTTAATATTATAGTAAGTGCTTGTGATTCATCTGAAACACGACTATTTATAGACGGGCAACCCCGAACGTGAAAGCGTGAGTAATATCGATATAAATAATTATAATTTGTTGTAAAAATATGGTAACAGTAGAACAGAATTGTAGACAGTAAGATTATATGAAATATATTTTTTAATTTGATTCGCGGTCATTACTTACTTATACATAAAAAAGATCCTGTGTTTTTTTATAAATATTACGTATATATGAAGTATTTTGTTATATTTTTTAAAAGAGTTTGTCAACATCATTGTTCAACATCAACATCAGGTCTAGCGGTTACGCCGCGTTGCTTTCGTTGTCTACAGGTTCGATTCCTTGCACGGTACAAATATATGTATTCATGAGTATGCTTGTTAGTATCGATCTTGGTATAATATGTATGTATTAATATTTTTTTTATTCATGAATTTATACATTTATACAAGTTGTCTAGTACCCATAACACGGACTCTACTTAGCTTGGGCCTATATGGCGCTGTGTGAATTGTCCAGGCATTATTACTGTCATTATGATCCTCAACTAACGTGTCAAACTATATCATACGCCAGGATTGACATAGTTTCCACTGGTAGCAATGGGGTCTGTTCCCACAGAACAGAACAGAATAGAATAGATTTTTTTTATTCAAATCAACTTTTTTAATAGTAATACTTATTTTTTTTTATATTCCGTAACGACACTTCTCCCCAACCCTCACCTCTAATTCCATCTACCTTTCCCTTACTTCTATATCCCAGGTAGCCTGTAAGAGATTGCTTTGAGCTATAAGGCTTTTGTTTGCATATTTGTATATTGTTCTTTTTTAGAATTATTTGTTTTTTTTTATTGCAATAAAGCGTTTTATTATTATTATTATCTCTTCTCTCTCCAAGCTAGTGTTGAATAGTTATCTTATAAGTATAATCACACCGTACACGCCCAAATTAGAATGTTTACTCGATCGCATTAAAACAACTTGGTCTTCCAAATAGAAATTTAATCGTCCAAGATATTTTTATTGGATTATTTCTACGTAATAACCACACGTGTCTGGATTCGAACCCTGGACGCCGGAAACGCTAACACAAACAGTTTTTATTTCTGTCTTCATCCTGCCTCCGAGATACCAATGGTTGGCCGGGTGAAAAAGTTCGTTTCATTAATATTTATTTTGTTCTTCCTATCTATAGGTAATAATTGTTTCCTTCATTGTCCGTTGTTGATATGTTAATATTGTTTTTTACTTGTAAATGTTTATTCTTGTATATTTTTGTTTAGTATGCTATTGTTTTGTTATTTAGGTATGTTGGATACAAATGTTAAGGCGTAGTTTAAAGTAATAATATCATTTGTATGTGTATTGAAAATATTACAATAGGTATTAATTATCGAAAAATTAAAAAAAATCTATGACCTATAAAGAAAGCATTGTAGTGAGCGAATAACATGGGTGGCATTTTATTGAAAATAAAAAACCCCTATAAATGTCCTACAAGTTCCGAGCGAACCCAGATCTGGTCACTATTATAGCATGTAAGACACTCTATTCCAAACATCCGCCAAAAATATAGTGCAAATTAAAATTTGAATTTAGAATGCCACTAGCTCTTAGAATTGAACGGCGAGCGTCGCTCCGCGTACGTCAATAACGTTCGATACCTAACCCTAGTACGCATGCACGCGGGCGCGCCATTCAAATCCTTTGGAACGCGGTAAGAAACGAAAAAAGAATTCGTCGCGAAAATATGAAACTCGTGACGCAACAGGTGGACATACGACCGTCTCATTCTTTTCTATGAGGTTTTAAGTTTCGTCTCTGTTGTACGGAAGCCGCCCCTACGGTCGCCGCCCCCACTCTGGGGCGGGAAATTTAAATGAAGGAGGGGATGGGATGGAAATGCTTTTCTTTTTGCTCGCGGGGTGTGTTTAGGGCTTTTGTCTGGGTGAATGCGGCCGGCAATTTCGGGGTCGCTTTCGTTCGTTCCGTCTCGGGATTTGAAAATCGAATGTAGTATTTTTAAATCGTATTGATGGAACATAGCTATTAATCATTTTATTTTTTAATTCCAATAAACATAAAATGCATGGGAAGTATTTATAGATGAACCTGATATGAT